TAATATTGTTCGGAACAGATTAAAAAATCTCATCAAAATTTGTCTTCCACGGATCAAATTAACTTTCATATCGTAGATGTAGATATGCGACAACTAGAAAATCACCAAGTTGGAGGTTCGCCATTAATACTGGGGCAATTACAAAAATGCCACTTTTTGTGTGTACATTTGCAATAATGTTACTTAGGAGTGTCCATTTGCAAAAATGCCACTAATTATAGATTTATAAAACCTATATCTTAAAATTCTAAACCCTAAAAAATGTTTTGACCCCTAAAACCCCATAAACCCTCATAACTAAACCCTAATAGAACATAATTAACTCAAACATAAATGATATAAAGAAGAAATAATTTTGAAAAAATGGCATTTTTGTAAAGATTTCAAAAGTGTGACATTTTTATAAAGTGACACTTGAAAAGTGACATTTTTTGAAATTTCTCATTAATATTTACTTGAAAGTTGTTTAGACCAAACAGTTCATAGCTTATTTAATCCACAAACGTAAATATATAAAATCAATAATTGATATCTCAACTATTTGTCAAATAAAGGATATTTTTAACCATAATATGCATGCAATGGATTGTTTAAGAGGGTAGGAAAATTATTATAAACCATACATCGAGTTTTACTATTTATAAAATTGATGGATTTTCTTTTAAATACTATATATAACCGTTTTAAATGACTAAAATACTAAATTCTCTTTATGTCTCAGAGATTTGTCTGAACTCATGATTTACTTCGGCTATAAGAAAAAACATTTGGTATTGTTATTTCAAAAGACTAAATCGTTATTGTGGTGACTATTTTTTTGTTTTTTTATTATATTTAGAGTTCAAGTTTCAGAATATGTAGTTTTCTTTAGATTAGAGTGCAAGCTTTTATAAAGTTTTGTACCATATACAATTTTTTTTTGGGGATAAATATACAAGTTCATACATCACTTTTCCACTAAAACACTCCTCCAAACCGAAAATGACATTTCTCTCTTCTAAGTGCTTCCAACTTTTCTAATCAGTTTTTAGCATAAAAAAAAAAAAATTTCTAATCAGTTTGCTTTTAAATGCTAACCTGATCTATTTTGCTTCTACTATTAGCATAATGCACCATAAATTCAATTGGATTTGTTATGTATCTAGAAAAGACAAGTTGTTTTTAGATACACATAACAAAATGTACGTAATTAACTCGTAAGTTGAAAGACGACAAGTAGTTGATGTGGCTTGTGGAAAGTAACTAAAATTTACGTAATTAACTCGTAAAAGTTTCTATAGACACAAAATATGAAACTTGTGGAGTGTTAGGGTTTAGATTATATGATTAAGGGTGTATGAATTTTAACGAAGCTTAAGACGACAATTGGATCTAAAATTTAATGTTTTTTTTTTTGAAACTTTGATAAAAAAATTTAATGTTTACGGTTGAGGTTTATATTTTTTGATTAAGGTGTCATTTTTGTTTAACAAAAAAAAAAATTGTACAAGGTTTAAAAACTGGCGAGTTGGGTTTAAGATTCAATGTTTATATTGATTATATATCAAAATTTGAATAAAAGAAATTAAAAAAACAATTCTAGGTAAGTTTTTTAATAAAAGAAATAAAAGAAAAACAGAAAATATTTTATTTAGGTTGGCATAAAAGTAAATTACATTTGATCATGTGCATATCATTTTTTTGTTTTTTTGTTGAAAATGTGTATATCATTTTGAGGTACCATTTTAGATATTTAAATGTTTGAATGCATTACTAAGTTATAACACATAATTTTGCGTATATTTTGCAATTGGTATGCCGAGTTCAGCATTACATATAGTTTACCTCTGAAAGAAAAAGGACCTTGTTCGGTGAGTCGGTGACTATGTAAGCTTTGTTTGAAAGTTGTACTATTTATTAGGGTTTTGAATGAAAAAATCTTTCAAGTATAGTTTAATCCATTTTAAATCACTCAACTATAAGATTAATGGAAAAACCTTTCAAATATTAGTTTGTTAGTGAATAATCTCCTCCTGCGTCAACAATACCGCTAAAACTTTAAATTACCGAGAGTTAAAATTAAATTAACTGCGTTTTGGGTTCAAACGTTTTAGGTCCTTAAAAACCAACATGTTTTGCAAAAAAACTTAAATTGGAGAGAAAGACCAAAATATCACCAAATTAAAAATTAAGATTTTTTTTTGAATTGATTTTTGTTAAAACTAAGCTCAAGTAAGGAGTATCTAATGTTAATTCCAAAT